GTACCATTTCGCTACATGGTCCTACGGTAGCTTCCTCATTCCTTTTCACTCATTAATTGCACCTTCCCATGCCAATAATTGCAAGGTCAGCGGACGGATAGCTTTTACTGAAGCTGCGGTAGCAAAATTGCTTGTTGACCGCCCCAAAAAATAGTTACTTGATCTTGTCGCGCTTTTTCGGTGCGGGGCACATTTTCCGAGAAACGCCACCCTCGTTAATCCGCACCAGACGGCACCGGAAAACAAGCGTTATTAATTGTGCCATTCTGTGTGCACATATCGCACACAAGCCGCCGGAAAAATACGGGGTAACGTGGGGCCACGGAGTACCAGAGACCCAGGGGTCTATCTCATTGGCCAAAAGCTCCCCGGGCATGTGGAGAAAATATTTTTCAGGGACCGACTGGAAATTGGAAATTGGCGGAAAGATATATGATAAATGCCAAGCTTAGCTTACGCTTAAGATTACGCTTGGCCCTGTGCCTTCAAGCCTATGCCCACGCCTACACGTAAGCCAAGCTTGAGCTAAGTCTAATCTCATGCGGAAGTCTACTTCTGCCTAACAAGGAGACGTTTATGAGTGTCGTCGGGACTTTGGCACGGGACTAAGCCTATCTTGTGCAGAATTTTACGCTGATTCCGAATATGGTAACCGTTTTTGCGGATTAGCCATTTCTCGAAAGTTATGAACGATTTAAACCTCAAAACAGCCCAAAATCGGCTACTTTCGATAGTCATAAAAGGCTTCGGAATAGGTTTTAGACAAAATTTGATAGTGTTTCAAAAAAAAATTCGCTATAAAATGTACCATCTTTTCCAAAATCATTGAAAAGTTGGAAAAATTTGATAAATTGGGAGGTCCATAATTTTATAAAAATTTTCAAAATTCCAGCATTTTTGAGTTAAATAGCTTATTTTATAGAAAATTTTTTTGAACAAGAAGCACTATCAAGTTTTGTCTAAAACCTGTTCCGAAGCCTTTTATGACTATCGAAAGTAGCCGATTTTGGGCTGTTTTGAGGCTTAAATCGTTCATAACTTTCGAGAAATGGCTATTCCGCGAAAACGGTTACCATATTCGGAATCAGTGTAAATTCTGCACAAGATACAGTAGGGTGCAAAAAGAAGGCAACACCCTGGAAGCTCTTGTAGCCCGGCCGCCTCGTTAGATTTTGCGCCAAACGCAATGCTTCCTAGTGTTTTCGATGCTGTAGAATTCGATGAGCATGGTCCCCAGCCGCGAAAATGACGTTTAGTAGCTTAAATATCGAATTTAAAATCGCTCCAAAAAATCGACTTTTTCTAAACGCATTTTTCCGTTTCAAAAACATCACCATCGTGTTCAGCATGGTCGATTTACCCAAAGTCAGTGTCGTTTGTGATGGGATTCGACTTGGCTCTGCCGGGAAGCCGCGTTTTCCTTGCGCCAAACGGGTCAAGAAGGGGGCTCGTCTGGGGGAAAGGTGTTGCAGGCGCCCCCATCAGACTGATTGCGATCCCCATTAATCGCAGCTTCCTAGCCGACTGAAGACGTCCTAAGAACCCAGAAACATTGACTCTGGGTAAATCGACCATGCTGAACACGATGGTGATGTTTTTGAAACGGAAAAATGCGTTTAGAAAAAGTCGATTTTTTGGAGCGATTTTAAATTCGATATTTAAGCTACTAAACGTCATTTTCGCGGCTGGGGACCATGCTCATCGAATTCTACAGCATCGAAAACACTAGGAAGCATTGCGTTTGGCGCAAAATCTAACGAGGCGGCCGGGCTACAAGAGCTTCCAGGGTGTTGCCTTCTTTTTGCACCCTACTGTATCTTGTGCAGAATTTTACACTGATTCCGAATATGGTAACCGTTTTCGCGGAATAGCCATTTCTCGAAAGTTATGAACGATTTAAGCCTCAAAACAGCCCAAAATCGGCTACTTTCGATAGTCATAAAAGGCTTCGGAATAGGTTTTAGACAAAATTTGATAGTGTTTCAAAAAAAAATTCGCTATAAAATGTACCATCTTTTCCAAAATCATTGAAAAGTTGGAAAAATTTGATAAATTGGGAGGTCCATAATTTTATAAAAATTTTCAAAATTCCAGCATTTTTGAGTTAAATAGCTTATTTTATAGAAAATTTTTTTGAACAAGAAGCACTATCAAGTTTTGTCTAAAACCTGTTCCGAAGCCTTTTATGACTATCGAAAGTAGCCGATTTTGGGCTGTTTTGAGGCTTAAATCGTTCATAACTTTCGAGAAATGGCTATTCCGCGAAAACGGTTACCATATTCGGAATCAGTGTAAAATTCTGCACAAGATACAGTAGGGTGCAAAAAGAAGGCAACACCCTGGAAGCTCTTGTAGCCCGGCCGCCTCGTTAGATTTTGCGCCAAACGCAATGCTTCCTAGTGTTTTCGATGCTGTAGAATTCGATGAGCATGGTCCCCAGCCGCGAAAATGACGTTTAGTAGCTTAAATATCGAATTTAAAATCGCTCCAAAAAATCGACTTTTTCTAAACGCATTTTTCCGTTTCAAAAACATCACCATCGTGTTCAGCATGGTCGATTTACCCAAAGTCAGTGTCGTTTGTGATGGGATTCGACTTGGCTCTGCCGGGAAGCCGCGTTTTCCTTGCGCCAAACGGGTCAAGAAGGGGGCTCGTCTGGGGGAAAGGTGTTGCAGGCGCCCCCCATCAGACTGATTGCGATCCCCATTAATCGCAGCTTCCTAGCCGACTGAAGACGTCCTAAGAACCCAGAAACATTGACTCTGGGTAAATCGACCATGCTGAACACGATGGTGATGTTTTTGAAACGGAAAAATGCGTTTAGAAAAAGTCGATTTTTTGGAGCGATTTTAAATTCGATATTTAAGCTACTAAACGTCATTTTCGCGGCTGAGAACCATGCTCATCGAATTCTACAGCATCGAAAACACTAGGAAACATTCCGTTTGGTGCAAAATATAACGAGGCAGCCGAGTTACAAGAGCTTCCTGGGTGTTGCCTTCTTTTTGCACGCTACTGTAGGCTTGGTCCCGTGCCAAAACGTCTCCTTGTAAGCGTAAGCCTAAGCTCAAGCCTAGGTCTGAGCATAAACCGAAGCCCATGCCCATGCCCAAGCCTAAGCCTATGCCTAAACATAAGCCCAAACCTATGCCTAAGCGAGCACCAGAATCGAAGGTCTGCGGCCTACGAGTTGACTGCTCAGCGCCAAGATAATTTTGCTAAAAAGCAACTATTTTTGTTGCACCTAGCGGCAATCGCAGGGGTTGTAACTCATGCAAGTTTCCGTGTTTTTAACGTTGTCCGTGCTTGTCGTTACCTGAGCAAATCCAGCGATCGAATCACGCATTTGCTAGTTTCTTTAAAACCAAAAATCTAAATTCTTGCCTATTACTCTCTCCTAAAATTTATGCGACTCCTTTGTCCGAATGTTGCAAAATTTTGGTATCGCATTCCTTTCCCATTCTTCCTCAAAAGGTGCCATTTCCGGTGGAAATTGTCAGTTATGGGGGATTCCGTTCTGATGGCTGCACACCTGTAAATTCTCTACCGTAAGCCATCAGACCCTTGGCACCAAAATTTTGGTCGCACTGTGTTTTGGTCCAGACAGCCCGGGCGGCGGCACGCGGCCCGGGCAATCCGTTTATCAACCGGTGTATGCGAGGAGGGCCGGGAATGCGATAAAAATTTTATTCGTGGGGCCACGTCAGGGGCCGGGCAGTTCTTATAGCTTATCACTCGACCCCTTCGGGCGGCTAGCGGCTCGTCCTTTGGAGGTACCAGCGGAAGGGTACTTGGGGTGTCTGGGGGAAAGGATGGCCAAAATTTTGAAGAAAATTGGGGTTTTGGGCGAATATTGAGGGACGTTGGGAAAACTGTTGGGCTTGAGCTCGGACTTGAGCTTGAGCCTGGGCCTGAGCCTGAGCCTGAGCTTGGGCTTGCGCTTGCTGAGCTTGAGCCTGAGCTTGAGCTTGAGGTGATGCGACGAGTATCTTTCGCGGGAAGCTGAAGCTAGCCGAACGCTGCTGTAGGAAGAGCGGGCGATTCTGAAATGTGACAAATTAGGATAAACATGAGATCACTCTCTCATTCTCTCTCACCGTCTCTCTCTCTCTCTCCCTCTGTCCCTTGGTCTGCCTCTCTCTCGCTCTCTCTTTCTCTCTCTTTCTCTCTCTCTCTGTCTCTCTCTCTCCCTCTGTCCCTTGGTCTGCTTCTCTCCCTCTCTCTCTCTCTCTCTCTCTCTCTCTCTCTCTCTCTCTCTCTCTCGCTCTCTCTTTCTCTCGTTCTCTCAGAGGTCATGTCATAACCCAAAAATTAAGTATCACGCCTTCAGACAAAACTAAACCCCTTAATTACAGCTCTGATCTCTTGGTGGACCAACCACGCAAACCGAAAGCCGCACTTGCCCGCATCACCCAAATTGGCACCTGCCTCCTTTTTCCGCGTATGTACCCTGTACTTGGTGCGGATTTGCGGGTCCCTCTTGTGGGAATCTCTGGTATAATGTACTCATTGAAGGACTCGGTCGTCACAAAGCGCAGGTGAGAAATGCTTGAACTTACCGGTGCGGCGGGACTTTGATTCGGCGATGGTTGGAGGAAAAATTGGGCGGCTGGCCCGGGGGGTGGTTGCTAAATTTAAGAAATCCTAAAAAAATTAAATAGAGAGAGAATAATAGAGAAGCAGCGAGATAGAGAGAGAGAAAGAGAGAGAGAGAGCGAGAGAGAGTGCAAAAGAGAGAGAGCGCGAAAGTGAGAGAGAGCGAGAGTGTGAGAGAGAGAAAGAGAGCCGAGGGTGAGTGAGAGGGAGAGGGCGAGAGGGAGAGAGATAGGGGATGCGGGAGAAAGAAACTGGTTTACGGTAGCATAAAGCTTACCATAAATTGTGGCCCATTCAGAGTAGTCTGTGCCGCTGGGAAAGCACCGTTAGGTGGAACACCAGGAGCCTAAGTTACTTCAATTTATTTAGGAAGCTCATTAGTTGAAATTTTCCTGAAAAATTCAACGCACCAAAACAGGTGCTCCTCCTACGATCGGACCTCGTGGTAGGACAGTCCCGGGTGGAAGCGCCGGAAAGGCCACTGGGACCGGGCCGGGCGGTGGTGGAGGAAGCGGACCTGTAGGTGGCTAAAAAACAGTTCATTCAGTTCAGTGATAAGCTAACTATAGCTTTCATGTGAAAGCTCCGCCTTCTATCAAAGCAGTGGCTCTTCTATGACCTACCGTATTCAGAATCGGCACTGAATACGTCGGAGCAAGTAGTGGTGGTGGTAGAGGCGAGGGTGGTGGCTAAAAACGACGAATCAAGCTGAATATCGTGGTTATCATATGTATAGGATTGGCAGCAACGTAATGCCGGAACTACTGCGTACTAATACGTATTCAAAAAGCTTTAGGTGAATCGAAAACACCGACCGGTGGTACAGCAACTGGTACGAGTGGAACGGGCGGAGGTGGGGAAGCCTGAAATAGAAAATTCGTCTGGGATCGGCAAGTGAATCGTCAAATGTCCAATACCAGCCGTTTGGACTTGGGGCTACCCCCTGCGCTCCCTCCCTTCACCGAAATGCACGCGACCTGGCTCACTATTCCCAACATCGTGCAAATAGCCGTTTTCGCTACCAAATTACAAATATCGGTTTTTAAATATGAAAATGAAGTTTTTAGATTCTTTCCTGATCAGTTTCGGGGTTTTTGACCGCGCTCTATCCGAATCCAACAAGACCTAAGCTCTAGCTCCTTTCCGCTTCGAGTTGAATTCGGCTTGCGGCACGCGGAGACCACATCAAAATTATTGTAGTTGATGCTACAAGGACTTTTTGGAGACAACGAGATTACCAAATATGGAGCGCCTTTGACCACAGGCAACGGTGGGCATTTACAGTATCCAAGGTCCAACCCCGGCATTCCGCTTGGTCCTCGATTTCCAGGCTGTCCGGATTGGCCCTGAAATCGTAAATATTTTGAGTAAATCTTGTTGGGCTGTTGAAGGAACTTGTAAGATAAGCAATGAATTTAAAAGCTTGGTTTTCATAAGGCAAAATTTTCTATCGAATTTCTGGAAACTCACCGGGATTCCTCCCTTCCCAGGCTGCCCACCCGGCCCGACGAGGCCGGGCATCCCTGGCGGCCCCGGGAAACCGGGATCCCCTGCTTTTCCACGATGCCCCATCTTTCCCATAGGCCCTGGGATCCCGCATGGATTTACAGCGTGAGTGGCGTGAGTTCCTGTATACAGTAACAGTGCAAACCACAAAAATACGGTACCTGGCTGTCCGAGCTGGCCATCTCCGCCATTGTTTCCAGGGGTACCAGGATCGCCAGGTTCTCCTGGATTTCCGGGCTCTCCAGGTTGTCCTTCTTGCCCAGGAGCCCCAGGTGTACCATTTTCACCAGTTGCTCCTTGACCGCCTGGAGGACCCTGGAATAAGGGTCTTGCTCTCGGTGTACCAAAATATCATTTTGTCTAAATTGCATCTTGTCGAAATATCATTTTGGGTACACATAGGATAACGGGGGGGGGCACTCATCATTATGAAATTTGCGATTACTGTGGGATTTTGCAAGTGCCATTCGATAAAGCGTCGAAAACTGCCCTAGGAGAATTAATTTCAGCCCGAAATAATGTAAATGAAATTTTTTATCGAATAGACAAAAATTGATCAAAATCCATGGGCAGCACATAGGATAACGGGGGGAAGCCAAATTTTTGCGATTTTCGATATTTTGAAAACGCGAATCGATAAAGCATCAAAAATTATACTAAGATATTTATTTACAACGCGAAAAAATGTATTATAAAAGTTTTATAGCCTAAAAACTATTTTTGAAAACTATGGGCAGCACATAGGATAACGGGGGGGAGAACAAATTTTCGGAGTTTTGAATATTTTCCAAAATTTGAAAATGCCATTCGATAAAGGGCCGAAAATTATACTAAGAGCTTTTTTACAACCCGAAAAAAGCTTATTTAAAAATACTTTTATCATAAAAAAAAGTTTGAGTGCCCCCGCGGTGATTTTAAGGACAAGGGTGGGGTTTGGATCATGATAATCCCTCAAAATTCAAGTACCTGTAACCCAGGTAGCCCCATCGGACAAGCGATACACCCAGATTTTGCGATGGCGTATCCCCACGACAAAACGGAACGACCATCGAGTCCGGGTTGGCCTGGAGAACCTAGAATTTAACTGCATGGTCACTTTAAAGAGGCTTTTACCTGAATTTCCCGCTTCTCCAGGTTCTCCTGGGTAGCCGATAGGTCCGCTAGGCCCCGCTGGACAAGCCTGTTTTGGCTTCATATAGGCTTGCTGGTTTCCGAAGTCTAAAATTAGATATTCAGTCGACTTTTAAACTCATTTTTCAAATAATTTATGTCGTTTTCTTCAGTTTCGCCAACTCTAGCACCCGCCTTTCAATTTTTTTGGCTTTGGAATCTCGTCAATCTCATCGGAATCTAGCTCTTCGGTCCCACGAACTCTCCTAACGGCATGATTTTCTCTGCGCAACTCATTCCAGGCTTGATCGAAGTCTGTCTAAGCAATTTTAATTATTCATTATTTTACAATTGTCTAAAATACCTCAAATTCTTCTAAATCCTCCTGGGCGGCATCGCGGAATTTTTCGATTTCTTTGTACATTAATGCCAAAAGTAAAGCAAAAATTATGTGAACCAAGTAGACAAGAATCAAGACGAAATTTTGCCGGGCGCAGGGTTTCATTTTTTGCTGTCCGGAAAACATATTTTTCAACGGAATGACTTAATTTGTAGGCACCCACTCTTACGGTCACACCGCCCGAAAAGCTTCCAACTGCGAGGTACGAGGTCAGGGACCAGTTTCCGTTCTCGAGTGAGTTCTAGCTGAAGTTTCCTGAAAAGACATTGGGGCAAGAAAACAATTTATTTTTATAAAGGTTGCTCATATAATTTTGAACACTAGTTCATTATAATAAAAACTCTGCAAAAACCGAGAATAGGCAACTCAACCACCTCAAATACCTGGCGGTTTATTCAGGTCACATTAAAGGGTTTCCACGCGTCTCGCGTCCAAGGCATTACGACATGTAATCAACGCGCAATCAAAAACGCTTTTTTCCGAGACAATTTCGTTTTTACCCTACGTTTTATCGCAAAAGAAATCAATTTTCTGTGGCTTTCGGCATAGACCCTTCCTTTTTGACCAGTAGGTTCAATCCCCGCATGCACGAATTTTGACTTCCTAACCCCTTTAAGTTCGATTTGAATTTTTCGCTAGCTGTAAGGTAAAAATTATTTTTGTTATTTTGTGAAATCGTTCTCGCGCACGCATTACAGCGGGATCAAAGTCTTCCACACCCTAAAATCAAAATTCCACATCGAGCGAGTTCGCCAAAGCCAGCCAGCAAGTCCGCCGGGCCGTATTTGCCGAATGTGCTTACTAATGGTCAATGGCCTCAATGTCTTTGTTTTGCCGATAGTCCTTAGTTAGGGAAAAACATTTTTGCAACCGATCCCAGGGGCGGCTCCCTAAAATGTGCTCCATTCGAGGACTTGGGAGCATCCCCGGGCCTGTCCAAGAAAGGATGGCGCCGGAAAAACAACTTTTGCAACCCACTCTAGTGGACTGCGGATAGCTAGCAATGTTTTGTTGATGGTTATGGTTTGTGCTCGAGTGAAAGGATTAAATAGAAAAAGAGATAGAGATAGAGATAGAGAGAGAGAGAGAGAGAGAGAGAGAGAGAGAAAGAGAGAGCGAGAAAGAGCGAGAGAGAGAGAGACAGCGAGAGCGAGAGGAAGAGAGAGAGAGTGAGAGATACAGCGATAGAGAGATAGGAAAAATGTTAGGAGAAAGAGAGAGCCGGAGAAAGAACGCAACAGAGCGAATGAGGGTGTGTGAGAGAGAATGAGAGAGAGAGCGAGAGAGAGAGAGAGAGAGAGAGACGGAGAGAGCGAAATCGATGCAAGATGTGTCGATATTAATTCACTTTATAAAACACGTTATTTGACTAAACAACCCTTGAAGAGATCGGCCATCAATTTCATTAATGTTTGATCCCAAAAGCCACTCGCTATTTTGATTCAAAGGTCGCCCACTATACCTTTGAAATCAGCACTTTTTCACGTGTCAAAACACCAACTTTATTCCCCGAAACGATTAAACAATTTCTTGACACGTTCCAGGGGATCCCCCGCCCTTGCCAAGGCCAATTACCAGCTTGGCGTAAACAGCTGTGTGGTGCGGAGAACCGGTCGCGCGCGCCAAGGTGGCCCAGATTTCCTTGTGTACTTGCTTGGTAAACTGTTGTTTTCGAGCGGCTAAATGGCTATCTCTCTGTCTCGCTTTTTCTGTCTCTATCTCTCTCTCTCTTTCTCTCTCTCTCTCTCTCTCTCTCTCAAATTGGGTGCAAAATAGCCGGTGATTTTCGCTGAAATCGCCGATCCCGCTAGGAGGATTGGCCGTTAGGCGATCGGGGTGCATAGGTATGCCGAAAACAACCCCCCTGGGAAATTTGGGTATAAAAGCCCCGGGTCCGGGGGTTAATCCAGGCCCAACATGAGACTACTCCTGTTAGGAACGTTCGTCGCGCTCGCCACCGCCCAGGCAGCTGCAAAGGCTCAGGGTAAGTGTTTTGAGGGTTTAAAGGGGACGTAAAGGTAGTGGTCGACCTCCTTAAACGTTTGTATACACAAAATCGTATGCCATTCGAGCTGCATTGTCTATTTTCAGGTCAACTCACCCGAGGTCAGCGTGGTGCCGAGCAAGGGCACCCCGAGATCCACCATGTCAGCAAACGGGATACTCAAGGTATCTAGCCTATTCACATAATGAAACCTTTCAAAATTCGTAGAACAACAGCGACACCAGCGTGGCACTGAGCAACACCAGGGAGCCCAAGGAAGCCTGAGCCGTCAGGAGCGCGAGACCGGTAAGAATGTCGGGTATCTCCCCGTTAGAATGCTTGATGATTGGACGAATACTAAATGCTTACCCTGTAAGGTCTTAGTTAGTCTAACAAGCCTAATAATAGGGAAAACTAAATTGTTAGCTTTAGAGCAACAGGGTCAGCAGCGCCAACAGCGTGAAGCCGAGCAACAGCATCAAGGCCAGCGCAAGCAGCGCGACACCGAGAAGCAGAGGCAGGCCTCGTTCAGCCGCGAACCCCGCGGAGCCGAAGAGCAGCAACAAGGACGTCAGCAGCGAGGCAGCGGTAAATTTCTGTATTAAGAAGCGATAAACGATATTTTTGTAGAGCATCAAGGACAGCGCCAGCAGCGAGAGGCTGAACAACAGCATCAGGGACAGCGCCAGCAGCGTGATGCTGAACAACAGCATCAGGGACAACGACAGCAGCGCGGAGCTGAACAGCAAGCTCAGGGTTCCGCAAGCCGTCAGCAGCGCGAAGCCGAACAGCAGCAACAGGGACGCCAGCAGCGAAGCAGTGGTAAATTTCTGTCTTAAGAATCGATAAACAATATTTTTGTAGAGCAACAAGGCCAACGCCAGCAGCGTGGAACTGAACAACAGCATCAGGGACAGCGGCAACAGCGTGGGGCTGAGCAACAAGCTCAGGGTTCCGCCAGCCGTCAGCAGCGTGAAGCCGAGCAACAGCATCAGGGACAGCGCCAGCAACGTGATGCCGAAAAGCAGGGCCAATCCTCAATGAGCCGTCAGCAGGGAAGCAGTGGTAAAATTTTTTTTCTAAGAGCCCATGAACAATCTTTTTGTAGAGGAACAGGGCCAGCGCCAGCAGCGTGAAGCCGAGCAACAGCACCAAGGACAACGTCAACAGCGCGGAGCTGAACAACATGCACAGGGTTCCGCCAGCCGTCAGCAGCGCGACACCGAGAAGCAGAGCCATTCCTCGATCACCCGTCAGCAGCGTGGGGCCGAGCAGCAGCAAGGAGCTGGACAAGGCCGCCAACAGCGTGAAGCTGGAGAACAACAGCAGGGAAGCCGTCAACAGCGGGATGCTGAGAAGCATTCTCAATCCTCGATGAGCCGTCAGCGGCGCGATAATGAACAGAAAGGGCGTCAACAGAGGGAAGCCGAGCAGCAAGCTCAGGGTTCAGCCAGCCGTCAACAGCGCGGAGCCGAGCAGCAGCAGCAAGGAAGCCGTCAGCAGCGCGACGCCGAGAAGCAGAGCCAGACATCGATGAGCCGCCAGCAACGTGAAGCTAGTGAGCAGCAACAGGGAGGCCAACGTCAGCAGCGAGGGACCGAACAGCAGCAGCAAGGAAGCCGTCAGCAGCGTGATGCTGAGAAGCAGAGCCAGTCCTCGATGAGCCGCCAGCAGCGTGGAGCCGAGCAGCAGCACGGAGCCAGCCAAGGGCACCAGCAGCGTGATGCCGGTCAGCAGCACCAGGGACGACAGCAGCGTGGAAGCGGTAAGTTATCGCACATGCAAACAAATTCAAACAATTCCTTTGCAGAGCAGCAGGGCCAGCGTCAGCAGCGAGGAGCTGAGCAACAGCAACAAGGGGGCCGTCATCAGCGTGATGCTGGAGAACAACAGCAAGGACGTCAGCAGCGTGGAAGCGGTAAATTACTGGATTTCGACATATCTAGCGTTCGTTTTAGAGCAACAAGGACAGCGCCAACAACGCGGAGCTGAACAGCAAGCCCAGGGATCATCCGGACGTCAGCAACGCGGAGCTGAACAGCAAGCCCAGGGATCATCCGGACGTCAGCAACGCGGAGCTGAACAGCAAGCCCAAGGATCGGCAGGGCGCCAACAACGCGGAGCTGAACAGCAAGCCCAGGGATCATCCGGACGTCAGCAACGTGGGGCCGAACAGCAAGCCCAGGGATCGGCCGGACGTCAGCAACGTGGGGCCGAACAGCAAGCCCAGGGATCGGCCGGACGTCAGCAACGTGGGGCCGAACAGCAAGCCCAGGGATCGGCCGGACGTCAGCAACGTGGGGCCGAACAGCAAGCCCAGGGATCGGCCGGACGTCAGCAACGTGGGGCCGAACAGCAAGCCCAGGGATCGGCCGGACGTCAGCAACGTGGTGCCGAGCAGGGACAGCAGAGCCAGCAGCATGGCCAGCAATAAATGCGACGCGAGAAGCAGCCCATGACCGTCTAGAACTTCTGGACATCAGCGCTTCCCAATTCAGAGGATAGGCTCAGGGTTTTTCTATTCGTTTTAATAAATACTGCATGCATGCTTTGTTTTTGCACCGCAAGTTACCAGAAAACATTACAAATACATTAGGACTATCGGCAGGCCATCGCGCCTCTGCGATTTTCTTAGCCCTTCATGATGTATTTTTAGGTGTCTCTTCTGCCTTATTCCTAGTAACAGTTCCGGATACTTTTTTGCAATAAGAACTTGCAGCCTTGCGTCTTAAAGGGGCTACGAACTGCCAAAAATTGAGTGACGGTCCGAAAATCGGAGCCCTGTACGTCGGAGGCCTCTGTACACCCAGGGGCCCGGGAAGCTCGCAAATTTGAAATAGCCTGTTGTCACCTCGAAATCACGTTCTCGGCGGTTTCTGGGCCAAATTTAATGATTAAAACACCAAAACTATTTTAAATGGAGTGAGGATTTCAAAAATGAGCTTGGAATCCTTGAATTATAGTGTTTTCACAAAGAAACCGGACAAAAACAACTTCGCGCAAAAATCGAAAGAGTGGGTGCTCTCGTCCCGCAGCGCCCGCTGGCAATTTCCCAGAAATCAAAAGAGGCTTCCCAAAAGGGCTTTGATTTGGCAGTTCGGAGCCCCTTTAAAGGGGCTCCGAAATCTGGTCCACGACTTCCCGCGTTGATTCCTGGCAAATAGCCAGATGCGACGGCAACGCGACCGCGCCGCATGATCTTTTGCGCCTGTTTGGACGCAGAAACGCTTGAATTTAAAAATTCTGAAGCTATTTCTGTAATCCTCATCGAATTTTAATCGAATGATTAGGTGCCTTACGAGGCATTACGACATGTAATCCCCGCGCACTCAAAAAGTCGTTTTCATTCAGTTCAGTTTATTTCGATTTCTCAAATCTTTTACGTTTTTTCGCAAAAAATCCTTTTTCTGGCATTTCTCGGCAGTAATCCTATCGTTTTTGACCAGCAGGTTCAACCCCCGCATGCGCGAACTTTGACTTCCGAGCCCCGTTAAGGGTAAAAAGAAATTGTATCGCTCTCGTTTTCAGGCGAAATCTTGCGTTTCGGCTTCAAAACATGTTGAACTTTTTTGATTTGGAGAATTACCCAAGGCGCACCAATGAGTTTCGGCAGGTGGAAAAAACAGCTTTGGTTGGTTCGAAAGTGCATGCAAATCAGCCCTCGGATACAATTGAATCCCTCTAATAAAAATGAACCTGCCACCACACGAAATTTAAAAAAAGGCAAAACAAGATCTCCCCGAACGCACAGCTTTCGGGTGTCATTTGTATTGGTACATCGCCAAAACTCGAAAAAATCAAGTTGAGTTATGTCCCTATTCCTGACATATTTAAGCATGCTGGCATGGTAACGCACGGTCTAATATCTTTCCTTCTCGAGGTAATTGGGAACAAACTTCGCATTTTTTGGCCCCACCCTGTAGTCTGGCTGCAACAGGCCAACAAATGGATGCTTGGCTTGGGTTGTAGTGAAAGATATTCATTTCATTTTCAGCATTCACCTGCAGCTCGTGAAACACCTAGATTTCTTTTGTGAGACGCCACTTGGTGGCCGATTTACCGCGCCTGCTCTCATTTTGATCCCGGTAATGGTCACGAGGGTCTATGAGGATCCCTATGTTTTTGTGTCCCTGATGAACGTCCTATTCGCGTTGGGTGTGGTGATCAACAGCCTTACCCTGTTCGTCATCTGGGTGGCCTCGCCGCTCGCGATGAAGCGCTATAAGGATGTGCTCCTCGGTTATCAGGTAACGAGAAAGGCCGTGTTGGATCATGTAACTGATCCTCAGCTAATCTCAACTCTGACTGAAGTGTTTATCCACCTCGGCTTGCCCGAAATTTTCCTGCCAGTCTTGGCTGTGAAAGTGCATGGCCCACTATTTGCTCCGCTTGATCCGCGACCGCTATTTGTAAGTTTAAACTGATTTGCTATTATAATGTCGAAAATCATAATGTCGAAATTCATAATTTCTAGATTCATAATGTCGATTTTTTTCGGTAGGATTTGGGGGTTTTACCGGGAATACCAGCCTATGTCAATTTGGACATTCTGAATTTCGCCATTATGAAATTTCGACATTTTGAAGTTTCGACATTACCAAATTTCGACATTATAATTTGCGACATTTTGAAAATAAGCCTGTTAAACTTGGCCGAAGATGTGATCCGGGGTTTAAAAAGTCCGAGGATAAACCGCTTCAGCCTTACTGTAACCGTTTTTGGTGACCGTGGCCTTCGATACGTGAGGTAGCACATCTTATGTAGGATTTTTCGCTGATTCCGCAACCGTTTTCAAAAGTTGCGAAACACCTCTGCGCAAAAAATTACAGCTGATTTTCGTGCCCTAATGGCGGAAAGCTTTTGAATCCTTCAAATGATCTCGTGAAATACTATAGACCATTTATGGCGGTAGAAAAACGTGCTCTCTAACAGCTCGCAAAGCCATGACAAAAGTTTCTTGAGGAATCCCCCCGATGGGGAATTTTTTAAATTTTTTGATGAGCTACTGGTTCGTGAGGTAGCCCACTCGAAAGAGCACGTTTTTCTACCCCGAGTATTTGCCTATTCTATCCCTCAAAGTATGCCCACGAGCTTTTTTTGAAGGATTTGACGTTATCTACCCTCGGGAATTCCGCACAAGGTGCGCTACCTCACATATCCAAATCTCACGGTCCTTAAAACCGGGCTACAGTTAGGCTCGGGCATTGTCTTATGACATCGATTAAAGCAAATCGGGGTTCTCTTGATCCTTGGCCTGGTCGTCGCGACAGTGACCTGCTTCTTGTACCGTCATCGGCAACTCCTGGTGCACGGACATGTGCTGCGGTACGCTAGAGGCATAGACACTTTTACGCAAGGCACATAGATTCTCTCTCGCGACCGTCGTCGTGCTTCTGAGCACTCATTATGTTTTCTTTTGTGGGGTACTCTGCTACGTGATCCAGGTGACCCGGGCGCAACAAGGTGGCGACAGTCCGCTGATGGACGACATTTTAAAGGTATAGAATGCTTTTGTTTGGGGTCGTGACTTCAGAGAAGCAACACTACCCAAAATACAGGGTGTCCCAAAAAAATGAACCATCTGGCATTTCGCCGTGTTACATCCAATCGGTCCCAAAATTTGACCAGACGTGTATCAGAGCCTAAATAACAACAATCCCGACTTTTAGCCCTGTAGCTATAGTATTTCTCGAGTTATGGCAAAAACAAACTTGATTTTCCGTTTTTCATGGTGTTTCCGTGGGATTAGACCCTCTAAATGTGAAGCGATAATGATTCGGCAGACCTTCTTTACCATAAGAAATTTCTCCGGACTAACATTAATTAAAAAAGCGTCGATTTAAGCGATTTTTACAGCGCCAAATTACTCCAGATCTTAAGCGAAATTAGGGATTCGCAGCCGGAAGTCGATGCAATCGATGCAAAGTCCAAAAAAGCCGAAAAAACTGTTCAGAATTCCGGGAAAACAGTATTTTCTTTATAACTCAAGAACGACTTTAGCTATAGGGTTATAAGTCAGGATTGTTGTTATTTAGGGTCTGACACACCTCTGGTCAAATTTTGGGACCGATTGGATGTAACATGGCGAAATGCCAGATGGTGCGTTTTTTTGGGACACCCTGTATACAGCGCAATTTCGCCCCAACCGGCAGATAGAAAGTTGTTTAGATCTTCCCAAACCACTCCTACTTGAAAACCGTTCCTGCTGTTTGGGCGGGCGATGCTGAATTTATTTTGCCTTGGCCAGAAATCACGTCTGCATTTATGTTCGCCATCGTGGTCCTTGGGATTATATTCGAGGCCGTCGGACTTGTCAGTCTTTTTGATTTTTATCTTTACGGTCTCTTCCAGTGCGCATTGTTCATCTGCCATAGCTACTACTTATTGGGTGGACACTTAAAAATGAGTGAAAACCGGCGGCTGATGCACAAAAGGCTATTGACAGCGCTGATTTGGCAGGTTAGACCAATAACGGCCTCGTATACGATTTTTTTTGAACGTTTTAGGTCGTCGTTCCATTTATAACGATTGCGGGGCCATGGGGCGCCGGTGTGATCATTGTTTGTGGAAAGATTGACATATCGCAAGGTAATCTTTATCAGGGCCTCCGGCCACTACCCCGAAAGTCACTACCCCGAAAAGTCGCCACCCCGAAATCGTTTACCCCGAAAAATGGCAGCATTGTTTTTGCGGAAAATCCAGTTTTGATTCAGATTTCCTATGAAAAACATGCAAATTTTTTCGGGATAGTGACTTTTCGGGGTAGTGACTTTACCCTCTTTATCAGCATCTACCAGGGTTGTTCATCGCTTCCCCGGGGCAAAACGATCGAAGCCTCTATCTCGGCGGGCTAGGTACCTAACATGATGAAAATTTGTGGAGTTGTAGAGTAAGGGGAGAGAAATTCTCGCAAAATTTCAAGGCGGTAGCAGTTAAGGGACGCACGGGGACGCAGGGTGACGTAGTGGACGGGTTGTCACCCTGTCCCCCGTCCCCCTCTTCCTCCCTGCGTCCCTGGGCTTATACCTGCCGCTACGACTTTCAAATTTTGCGAGAACGTTTCCCTCCCCTGACTCTACGACTCCACAAATTTCCATCCCGCTAGGTACATAGCCCGCCGAGATAGAGGCTTCCAAAGTTTTGCCCCGGGGACACGATCAACAGCCCTGGCATCTACCATGCACTGTCCTTAGAAATTTGCAACCTACTCTTCTACTTCGACGGTTGCCATGCGTTACTATCATCCGTCCACATTTTGCTCTTGACTCGCCCATATCGGCGATACATCTGCGGGATGGCGATGCGACCATTCAGCCGTAGCGTAAGCCCGCAACACAGCGTTGCCTTAGAGCACTTCGAGAAGCCAATGGCCGCCCTTGTCTATGTAAATCCGATCACGCACCATAGTTTTCAATAAATTATAAATAGCTATGAATGTTATAAATAACTTTAGCTGCACACGCTACGCTAAAAATTCACATTTTGCCTGTTCCGTCCAAAACGATCGCTAGGATTCAGAAAGTTGTGAAGGTTCTAAGTATGAAAAAGGGCCAAAATGGCCAAATTTCCGAAATTGGCCTTTTCCGTCCTAAAAAGCGTCATAACTTCTTCGATCTGGTCGTTTCGCAGATTTGAAACCCAGGCTCGGAATCAACACCAATTACGCACAAGCTAGGCTCGGTCCGGTACATAACCTCGATTGTCAGCATTACTGTCATCCGTGCAAATCGTGCTTTTGACGCGTCCTTAACCAACATACTTAACCAAGTATTCCGCCTCGTGATGCGTCCTTTTAGCCGCGAAGTTACCCCAAACACAGCATTGCTATTGAGAAGTCGATGGTCTCGCTGATCTACGTCAACCCTGCGCGGCATGGAGGCGGCTTACTAAGACCCCGCAATGAATCTCTACCGAATAATTAGTGAATACAATATGTACGCCGAGTAAAACCGATAACCTCATTTGTATATGCACACCTGTCATGCAGTCCGTTTTGCATAAATTTTAATGCGCTTAGATCGTGTGGGTTCCAGGTTAAAGCTTGAAAACCGAAGGCTTCATCAACGCCCCCGACAGCATCCGGTCACCGCCGACCATCCAAACTTTCGCTATCCTCTCTAAAAAAGCTCTAATTCCCATTAACTATTTTTTTACAATCGTGTGCAGGTGAAAACAAATTTTTATCCTGCACACTGCTAATGAGCGCAAGCAGATATAGCAGCGCCAACAGGATGATTTGGATGCAGAACCTGTGTTATGTACTGACTCTGCTCGAGTCTTGAAACACCAATATAGCCAGGAGCAACCGCAGTTCTTCTCTCTAGGTGGCGGCCGCACTGATTGAGCGCCAGGTTTTTATCACGTCCGTTATCCGAAAACCCAAATCTATGTTCCAAATTCTATCAAGTCCTTGTTCTAACGAACCGTGGTGTTTCGAAGTATCCAATCCTGATGTAGCAAAGGATACCGCTTGTAGCATGGCGCTCACCCACTCTTTTTAAATTAAAAAGAGCTGAGAGGCCCCCAAATTGCACCTGGCTCGGGAATAAATTTTTACCGGCCAGAGATGGAGTCTAGCGGATTGCCAGTACGCGCCTGCCGCCAGTGATGGTGCGTCTGGTCTATGAAGAGCCGCATTTATACGTTGCATTAATGAATGTCCTGTTTGCGCTGGGCATATTCATAAACTACGCTACACTCTACGTTATTTGGGTGGCTTCTCCCAAAAACATGAAGCAATACAAACACACACTGCTCGCCTATCAGGTCAGGGCCCAAGTCCCATGTCTAAGCCATGACCAAGAATCGACGAGCAGCGCCCGGTAGAAGCCAGATTTAGGCCCTTTCGGCGTTCTTCGAAACTTACGTTCACCTGGGGCTGCCCGAAATTTTTATCCCGGTTCTGGCCGTCAGAGTGCATCGCAAACTGCTTGCGCCGTTGCACGCTCTTTGTAAGTTCTTATCATTCGGGATATTGGCGTGTCGCAACACGAGCAAACCTTCCTACCGCAATGCAGGTAACCTGTTAGTGATTAGTAGCCGAAATCCCCTCAAAAACTACTCAGATATCTTGGCGATGCCTTTAGATACCTCCGCTAGTACTTAAAAAAACTACTAAAATACCACCAAAGCAAAAAGAAAAGAGAAAACGAATGGAAATGAGAAAATCCGAAGACCTGACGTTTACGCAAAAAGAACTTTTCAACCCTAGTCGCCCGCACTGTTACGACGTGTAAAGGAGCCCCGCGTTGCCGCCAAAACGTATTAGCTGTATTTTAATAACGAATTTTTTGAATATGGTGCTGTTTTGAAGTTCTGATTTTGATCATGTTCGACTCAGCGTGGTCGAATTGACCTTGAATAGTTAAGAACTGAGCTCTTGCTCCTTATACCTTCGAGCTGAATTCGCCTTCAGACGGACCGAGACCACAACAAAATTATTATGGTTCATTACGAACCCTTCCAGCAATTCGGCGCTTTTCTACTTATGGCGATGGTGATTGCGACGGCTGCATGCTTTTTGTACCGACACCGACAACTACTGGAGCATGGACACCCGCTCAGGTGCGGCCCCGGGATAGCCCTAAAATTTATTCGCGATTGTAGGCAACCGGTCTGGCGGATAGCCATCGGCGTTGGGATTCACTATGTAATTTATTGTGGCACCCTTGCCTACATCATTCAAATCGGCCGTGCCGAGAAGGGCGCTGACAGCCTACTGATGAGCGAGATTGTGGCCGTAAGTTCTTTTTCTCGGCCCAAGAAGGGAAGTTTTTGAAGTCTCGTGGGATTTAAACACGAGACCTAGTTTATCTGGTTCAGAATTCTTTGCTGATCCCAAATATGTTTTCAAAACCCGCAAAATAGTGTGGTGTCAAAAGTTAAAAACCTTTAACGCTTTTTTTTTGCTAAAAATTGTGGAACTTTAAGCTCGATAATTTTGATTTACTTTTGCTCGATTATTTTATGTTCTAAAAACAAATATCGTCATCGTATACAAAAAAATTCTCTGTGTCGTTTGAGATCCTTAAAGGGGCTACGAAATGCCAAAAATTGAGTGACGGCCCGAAAATCGGAGCCCTGTACGTCGGAGGCCTCTGTACACCCAGGGGCCCGGGAAGCTCGCTAATTTGAAATTCCCTGTTGTCACCGCGAAATCACGTTCTCGGCTGTTTCTGGGCCAAATTTGACGCTTAAAACACCAAAACTATTTAAAATTAAGTGAGGCTTTCAAAAATGGGCTCAGGATGCGCAAATGATAGTGTTTTCACAAAGAAACCGGGCAAAAACAACTTCGCGCAAAAATCGAAAGATTGAGGGCTCTCGTCCCGCAGCGCCCGCTGGCAATTTGCCAGAAATCAAAGAGGCCTCCCAAAAGGCCTTTGATTTGGCAGTTCGGAGCCCCTTTAACTGAAACTGTCCAAAATCGGAAAATTTGACGATGGTTATTGTTATGGCCAGCAGTTTTTGTATCGGATTTGGAAAAAACTGCGTATTTCGCACACCGGCAAACCGCGTCCTATTAGCACCGATGTTGCAATGAAATATACCATTCGATTCAGAAAAAAATTGTCTATTAGTGTGATAAATCAGAACAGTAAAACAAAAAAGGACGGCATCATCGCCAATCACCTGTCGGGGGCCAAAAACCGCGGTTAAATGCCCCATAACTTTTAAATCAGAGCTATTTTGCAGTTTTTGAAAACAGCTTGGAAATCAGCAAAAAAATCTGCGCAAGGTAGGCTGGGTCCGATATCGAAATCCCACCGTCTCGTTAGAAGGTTCCTTTGTAAGAGTGCTTCAAATGTAAATCCGTTCAGAAATATCCGGACTACGCATTTTTGAGAAGCGTTCCTGGGGTATGGGTGGCCGATGGGAGCGCTCCGTTCCCTTTGCTACCGGTTTCACTTCAAACAATGTTCTGCTTGGTCATCGTGGTAATCGTTGCAGAAATTATACCAATGGTGAGTCTTCGCGCAGTTTTTGTTGATCTTTCGGGTCGGGCCTTGCCTTGATCACTCATAGTTTATTGGCCATGCGCGCTAGGCGTCGTTGCTCCGGCAACAAGGTAAAATCGCAGTAGAAAAGATCTCGTAAAAACGACTAGGGTGAATGGATATATAGTCCAACCAACCATTTGACCATATTAGGGTATCGGTCTGGTTATACATAGTTATTACCTATTGGATGGTCACGTGAAAATGAGCGAAAGTCGGCGACTGATGCATAAGAAGCTGCTCACTGCGCTGGTTTGGCAGGTTTGGAAATTGTTGTCGCTGTGGGTGCGTGAGTCCTTTGGTGATGGCTCAATCCAAGGCGGCGACCTTGCGAGAGAGTCGTGTGACACCTGAATTGATAGAACGAAAGAAGAGGACAAAAAAAAGCTTATTAAATAACGACACCAGCCTAAAAAAGCAGGATGACAAGACGGGGATGTGGAAGACTGAAAAATACAACGCACAAAAATGGGCTGCGACGGGGGGAACGCGGAGCGCATCCAGGACGCGGGGGATAGGGGTGCGCCGTACTGGTGTCGCGTAATTCAATCAAAAGACTTTCTTATCTTGCTTCTACAACAGAAACGATTCCCAGCCATCGCCGACGCAATTTTAGGTCGTTGTTCCATTTATCACGTTGGCCGCACCTTGGGGAGCAGGAGCGGTGATCGTATACCAGCAACTCGAGATCTCCCAGGGTCAGTCGGTTTAAAAACCTAATCCAAATCTTTTCAGAGACGGCGAATTTGTTGTTCTATTTTATGGGATGCCACGGACTGATGTCTCCGGTGCAAATCGTGCTTTTGACACGGCCTTATCGACTATACGTGTTCCGCCTCGCGATGCGCCCCTTTAGCCGCCAAGTTAGCCCCAAGCACAGCATTGCTATTGAGAAATCGATGATCTCGCTGGTCTACGTCAACCCTGCGAGGCTACGACGTGGTTCACTAAGGACGCGCCATGAATCCCTACCGAATAAATACTGAAAACAATATGTACTCCGTAACCCTACAAATCCATCCGATGACTTTCTTTCAAAATGTTGAAAACCATAATGTCGAAATTCAGAGTGTCTAAATTCAACCTATCGAAAGTTCATATTACCGAAATCTCGTAATACAATGCAGAATATCGACATTTAAATAATTTAATTTTCCGGGGAAAACTCCCGAACCTATGCAAAAGAATTTCGGCATTCTGAATTTCGTCATTATGATATTTTTACATCATGAATTTCGAAGCTTTGATAGCAAATCCCATCTTTCGGTACCGGGCAGGAGCACAGAAAAACGACCGGCACGAACTTTGCGCCAGCTGAAACTCGCCCAAACCCCCAACGCTTAATTGAATTGAGAATTGAGCGTCGAAGGCCTTCACCTGCCTTGATAAAAAATTCGGTTGCCAGTGTTCACTAGGGAATTATTTCTGCCAGCATCGAATTTGATCACGGAATGCCAGCATCGATGAGATACGTCATGCGACGCGCCTTGATGAGATGATTTCGAATCTGTAAAAAAAATCAACGGAAGCGCGGTAGGGGAAGGTTATGAGGGTTCAAAGTTGGACAATTATCAAAAAATGGGACCTTTGAGGGCTTGAACGAATTCTAGAAGCGAAATGTAAAAAAATTAAATGGTGGATATTGTTAGGCAGAAAATGCGCTTTCGAATGGGTTATGACATATAAGGCTTACAAATATTTTTTCGCGAAAAATATTTTTGGGTTTGATTGCAACTTCCAGGGCATGCAAGTCTCTGGTCGTCTGAGAGGTTTCTGCGAATTGCTCTAACTAACTTTTGCAAAATGTTACTTCTAGAATTCGTGCAAGCTTCAAATTTTTGAACGTCCTCTTATCGTTTTTACCGATTCGTAATCAGTTTGTCAAGGCGAGTTGAATGACATATGTCACATTATGAAATTCGAAGCCGAGTTGAAAGAATTCCATATTTAGACCAGGGTGATTTAATTTTATCAGAAACGCTTGAAAAATTAAGAAAATAACCAAAATAGGACTGCAGCTCGAAGCCCCACCCCCGTATCAAATTTGTTTGCGCTATTATATCCAAAAAGCAAAAAGTGTGCAGTGCGGGGGAGCCGAACCAGAGACCCTTTGCTCAAGAGACCAACTACTTATCCACTACACCACTCGGCCGGCGGATCCCTGGATACGAATGGGACTGATAAGGGAAGGGGGAATTTTGATGCAAAACTTAAAATGCTCATAACTTTTTTGTATTAAGCGTTTAGCAAATTCTGATTGCAGTTTCGGAATCCCCGTCGCCGACTCTAACAGACCCATATTTTTGCTAAGCGGTTTGCTGGGTTTTTTATTTGCACTTCCCTAGTGAGAGGTTTCTGCGAATTGCTCTAACTAACTTTTGCAAAATGTTACTTCTAGAATTCGTGCAAGCTTCAAATTTTTGAACGTCCTCTTATCGTTTTTACCGATTCGTAATCAGTTTGTCAAGGCGAGTTGAATGACATATGTCACATTATGAAATTCGAAGCCGAGTTGAAAGAATTCCATATTTAGACCAGGGCTATCTACACTTTTCGCGATACCTCAAACGTTGGCCGACAAAACTTTGGTTCCAACCTGCAAATAATGTGTCTAGCTGTTTTTCTTTTCCCGAGCTCGCTTTAAAATTCAATTAATTGCCGATCCTACTTGCAAGGGGTTGGGTTTAGCTCCAGAGCGCTGTTGTAGCGAAGGCGTCGCTTGTCGCTTGGTGCTCAGAGCTTTTTTTTCCTGAAAACGGCTTAATGGAAAGCTTGCACCTGTCTCGATAAGTGCTCCAACGGTGCCTTCACTGGCGTGAAATGGATCCGCACTCCGGTCTGCCGACTTCAAGCGATGGCCCGGCTGATCTACGAGGAGCCCGTCGTTTATGTGTCGTTAATGAACGTTCTGTTTGCGTTGGGGATATTCGTAAACTATGGCACCTTGTATGTGATCTGGGTGGCCTCCCCGAAAAACATGATGCAATACAAGAACGCACTGCTTGCGTATCAGGCAAGTTAGGTGGGCCGCATGAAAGGCTACGCTATCTACCCACGTAGCGTTCACGATTTGCGATTTAGTTTCTCTCCGCTATGTTCGAAACTTACGTCCACCTGGCCACGCCAGAAATTTTCATTCCGGTCCTGGCAGCAAGGGTTCATGGTAACCTGTTTGCCCCGTTGGACCCGCAACCGCTCTTTGTAAGTTTTCGCGTCAATCGGGATCTAGCGCTCCTTATTCTTCCAGCAATTCGGCGCCTTTTTACTCTTGGGGATGGTGGTTGCAACGGCGGTATGTTTTCTTTATCGCCACCGCCAATTACTGGAACATGGACACCCGCTCAGGTAGGGCTCAGAGAACCTCAAAATTTATTTATCACCTCAGACAGCCAGTCTTGAGGATAGGAATCTTTATTGGGACTAATTATGTAATTTGGTGTTGGCTTCTTGCCTACGTCATTCAACTGACGCGGACCGAGAAAGGCGGCTATAGCATTCTGTTGAGCGAAATTTTGACGGTAGGTTTATCTTTTATATGGGCTACCTGGGTTGAAGAGCCGCTACGCGACTTTTCAACCCCTGGCTCCGTCCGGGTCCATGAAATTCTTCACTTTGCATAATACGCCCGAACTGCGATGAGAAATAATGAAAAGCGCCTCCTTTCCCATTATATAGGCTACAGCAACTTCCGGCGATGCTAATTTTTCCTAATGAAGAGCGTGCGCGGAGATTTTTACAAAAACATTTTAATGTCGAAAACGGTTGATTTTTTAAAAGCTAATATGTTTGCAGTCATATCCGGCCTATTACCCAGCTAATGGCGTCTTAAATCTTAATATTACGCACCTAATACATATCTTAAAAATTCTTAAGTTCCTAAAGTAAAGTAAGTAAGTTCCTAAAGTTCTTAAGTAAGGTGTTTCCGAGAATGACGGAAGTTGCATGCAAAGTGGCGCGGACACACACAAACACTATTTTTTATATATAGCAGCATTTGCCAGCGCTTCGGTTATAAAGCAATTTAGAAATTCCCGGATTATGAATTTTTGAAAACTGTCCCTGGGATTTGGGCGGCCGATGCGAACGGACCGTTCCCCTTGCTACCAGTTTCACTTCAAACAATGTTCTGCCTGACGATCGTTGCAATAATTCTGGAAGTAATTCCACTGGTTGGTTTTTCTCCAAGGTTCGATGGGATTTTTGTCAGGCCTTCCTCCTGATCACGCACAGCTTCTACCTATTGAACGGTCATGTGAAAATGAGCGAGAATCGACGCCTCATGCATAAGAAGCTGCTGACGGCGCTGGTTTGGCAGGTGGAGTCCACCTCTCTGTGGCCTAGATCCCTCTTTAGGCTGTCGTCCCTTTCCTCACCCTCGCAGGACCATGGGGCGTCGGGGCGGTGGTCGTTTACAATAATATTGAGATCTCGCAAGGTAAGCCAAGTCAGAAAATTGTGGCCATGACTATGCTTTCTTTACTTTATCCCCGGAGCCGGAGGTTCCAACATTTTTTCGACATTGCCGCTTATTCTTCGGGATTTTGCTTTCGTGGTTCCATAGCGCATCAAAAAATATACTGTGAGTCTTGATTACAGCCCAAAATAATGTAATAAAAAAAAGTTATAGCGAAAGACTTTTGGGAACTTCCGGCTGGGAGGGGGGTGGGGGGTAAAGTACAGTTTTACCGCGTCCATTGCTACTCAGAAGTCGCCAACCTGCTATTCTACTTCGATGGATGCCACGGACTGATGTCGTCAGTGCAAATCGTGCTTTTGACGCGCCCTTATCGACTATACGTATTTCGGCTCGTGATGCGTCCTTTTAGTCGCCAAGTTAGCCCCAAGCACAGAATTGCTCATGAGAAGTCGATGGTCTCGCTGGTCTACGTTAATCCTGCGAGACAACGACGTGGTTCACTGGGGACGCATAATGAATCACTTCCGAATAAATACTGAATACAATATGTACAGGGTGGAACAAAAAAGTTCCCTACTTTGGACCTTTATAGCTTTTGAACGAAACATAATTGACCATGCGTTACCATCCTTAAATATGTCTGGAACGTCGATTCAGACCAAACTGATTTTTTCGATTTCCGAATCCGACCATCGTTACCTTGTAAGAATGCTTAAGTAAGCTGGGCATGAAAAAATAACACAACTTCTACTCGTTAAAAAATTTTGAACAGTTTTGAAAAAGTAGAAACTTTGATGAGAAAAATAATGCAACTTTTAATGTGCTAGGGGACGTGAAGGGACGGCATACCAAGAGAACAGGCGGGTACTATCGGCCGCGGCTTAATCTATTAAGAAATACTACTTAATAAACGTCTTAAATATTATGTAATACGTTTTAATTGCTATAAAATCTTCTACATACTTAAGGAACTTAGTTATACAGTTTTTTATATAAATTGTTTGCGATATGTATAAAAAGAGTGCTTATGACCACCCGCGGCCGATAGTACATGTCCAGTTATGAAGGGTATCAAAAGTAAGGTCCTGAAGCGCTTAGAATCCGCTATCAAACGCATAATAAACATTATCGATGGGTTGACTAGCCGTCAATAGAAGCGTTCGTGTAAACATGAAAATGCTTGGCGGGTGCATTTAAGGCTCGTACTTATGGAATTCTGCTTTCGATTTTTTAAATTTTTTTTTGACGCACTTTTGCCGGTGTCGTGTAGCCACAAATAACGATCTTCAGACTGGACAATTTCTCATTACAAGAATGTTTGCGGCTGCATTCAGTATCGACCCATTCCTGGGATTTCAAACTACTTCCGCCAAAAAGCACCTGCAGTTCCCTGCAAAGGATGCTAATCCTGGCGCACCCTACCTGTTCCTTCCTTTTCTATTTTTTTTACGGCGATGTCAGCTCTCATCGTATACGACGAGCCAAGATATTATATAGTCTCGATGCGCTGTTCCTATGGACTCGGCACGATTTTAAATCTATTCGTCGCCTACATGATGCTCCGAAAATCGCCTCCAATGATGAGGAAATACAAATACGTGCTGCTTTACTATCAGGTAAACAAGGTGGAGCACCTTATCGTGTGAGCGCTAACTCGTTCGGTTTTAGTTTTGCGCTTCCGCGTTCGAAGCATTATTGCACGCCGCTGAGCCGGAAGTGTTTTTCCCGACACTTTTTGTTCGGACGGACGGATGGTTATATAGGATGTTTGGCATCAATATCATCACGTTTTTTGTAAGTTTGTAAAGGAGACGCATCGGTGCATGCGAGAATAAAGCGCAAAGCTCCGTACCGGTTTTTCGGGAATTTTTTTCTCAAACAAATGAGGATACCCGTTTTTCAAAAATAAACTTAATTTTAATAGTTCAAAATCTACCTTTTTAAAAATATGATTAGTAGGTTGTTTGTGAGTCCTCTAGAAGACAATACGCACCTAATACAGTATCTTCCATGCCCTAAACGGTTTTTCCTGATGCGTTAGGGGGCGGGGGGGGAACCCGGTCACGGAATGGCATGCAAATGCACACACACACGTATTTTTATATACAGGGTGTCCCAAAAAAACCCCCACTCGGCATTTGGCCGTCTTCTATCGGATCGGGACCAAATTTTTACCAGTGATGGGGACCCATAAAAACTATGTGCAGCCGAATTTTCTAAGCAAAATATTGTAAAACAAAAAAGTTATATCGAAAATAAGGTTTATTTTGCCAATTTCACTAAGATTTTGATCGATTTGGACCTCGAAATGTCTAGCAAAAATGAAGAGGGCGATCGAATAGAAGACTGCCAAATGCCGAGGGGGGGTTTTTTTTGGGACACCCTGTATAGCAGGAGTCTCCTACTATAGATAAAAATACGTCCCGTAAAATAGTAAAAACTTGTTGAACTGAAAAGCTGAAACTAGGATTGTTTTTCGCTTTTTGCAGGAGATTGGGGCTGTCGTCTTCTTTCAAATGCAGTTCTCATCGACCTTATGCTTGGTCTATCGGCATCAACAAGTCCTTCCAAGATGGCATCGTTTTCGGTAAACAGGTTGCAAAGTCTTATCAAAATCTTCAGTCTCAAACCTCGGACGCTCGTTTTGATTTTCGGGCTCCATCACCTCTTCTATGACGGGTTTTTCGTGCACACATTATCGCTGGGAAATGCCGAGCTCGGGAATGGGCTTGGCATCCGGGAACGCATTTTGGAGGTATTTCACCAGGAAAATCTGGATCTTGAGATTTTTAGCAATATCCTGAGTATAGCTTCGTGCGTGATCATCCTGATTTTTTTGCTGGCGATGCGTCGGCGATTTATCCCCTTACGGGCCTTACTTTGCAAATGAATGCCTGCGCGCTTGCGGCGCTGTTTACCCTTGAGAACGTGGTAGTGGTTAGTTTTTGTGCTTCTCAGTGAGATGGTTATTCAAATCAAATCTTGAGCAGCTCAAACCTGGATATTTGAAGGCAAAAACGCTTCAGTCGCTTCGCGAATTTTCAACCCTGGCTCCCTTTATATTTTTCAGTTTGCATAATTCTCGCGCATTCCGATCGCAAAAAATGAAAATCGCAGTCTCTGTCTTTTTATATACGCAACTACTAACTAATATTTTTTTAACAAAGAGTGTGATCGAGATTTTTACAAAAAGTTAAATTTAATAGCGAAAAGTGCCGAATATTTTAATCGTTGCTAGGAACAACCTGGCGGAAGTAGCATGCAAAAGCACACAAACACTATTTTTTAAATATATAGTAGGATTTGAATAACACATCACCAAAGTCATCAATCTTTAACCGAGGCCGTAATCAACTGCTGTTTTGCAGGGTTTTTTCATCGTCATCCATGCATTCCGGATGCTGGACGGTCGGGTTGCGTGGAGTCGTCAAACCCTTCGGCTTCAGGCCAAATTAATGAGAGCCATAATTCTACAGGTTTGTATCGAAACGAAGTCTAATATACCAAGTTTCTTTGAAAAAATCGTCACTTATTTAGATGACGATCCCATACGTGACGCTGCTGTTTCCCTGGGGATTATTTGTCTACGCTCTGGTCACGAAAGTGATCGTTAGCCCAGGTAAACAGGCTATTTTCTATCAACATTTTTCTGAATGCCATCCCTTTTAGATCTCCTAAACGCGGCGATGTGGTTCCACGGTACCCATGCATCCATGTCGTCCATTGGGATACTAATCTTAACGGACCCCTATCGAACGTTTTTAGTCGAAAAATTTGGATGGGCAAGGTTAGCTCAGTTTCCCTTTACCTTACATATTTCAAAGGGCAAAAACCCGGGTGGCCGCAGTTTCCAGTAAGTCGCTAAGCCCGGGGATATGACGCTGGCAGGATCGGGGGAAATTTTTTTTAATAAATCGTTAGGTTTGAATCTCTCTTTGTTACTCCAAATTCCAAGCGTTGTCACCGACAATCTTCTACACCTTTGTTGACGATGCAAAGGATAGATGCCAAAGATAGCAAAAGATGCGTGATAGACTACAGGGTGTCCCGAAAAAACCCCCCCCCCCCGGCATTTGGCCGGCTTCCATCCAATCGGGACCAAATTTTTACCAGTGATGGGGACCCATAAAAACTATGTGCAGCCTAATTTTCTAAGCAAAATTATGTAAAACAAAGAAGATATATCATAATTAAGGTTAATTTTGCGGATGTCACTGGGATTTTGACGAATTTCGGCCTCGAAATGTTTAGCAAAAATGAAGAAGGCGCTCTTTTCTACCTGTAGAAATTTTTTGATCTACGAAAATTACGTTTAATTGGGCCTTTAGATCACTTTTTATTATCGAAATTGCTAGAAACTGACCGAGAAATGACAATTTTTGGAAAATTACTCAAAATCCGCATGCTAATTGCGAAAACATAGCCAAAAACGAGTACCAGCGTTTTCCAAAAATCAGTTTTTTAGCGATAACTTTTTGGTTTTACAATATTTTGCTTGGAAAATTTGGCTGCACATAGTTTTTATGGGTCCCCATCACTGGTAAAAATTTGGCCCCGATCCGATAGAAGTCGGCCAAATGCCGAGGGGGGTTTTTTTTTTGGGACACCCTGTATGTAGAAAGCCTGTTCCCAGCGTCAATTGTAGATAAGAATTCGTATCCTCACATGTTGCCACGAAATTTAAGAAAACATTAATTCAGTGCACCCGAAATGGTCGGATCAACGGTAACTGTTTGAGTTCTGCTGCTCCAACCCAGCGACAGGAACAGGTTGCTGCGGGCCTGAAATCAGGTTGATCTACAACTGATTAACGCATAAGCGTAGCTGTTTCGCTAAGTGCGCTCGCCAATCGCATACCTCAGCCGACAGGAAAATCCACAACCAAAAGGGAAAAATAGACAAGGAATTCATGGCCGCATCCGCAACGTGCAAGCAAAATTGTTGAAATGAACCGCCGTATGTGAGGGTCACTTGAAAAACCTAGAACAGCTATAAAAAGTACATAGTATATGATCATGCACTCTAATGAAGAGTACTTTTTGAAAATCTGAGATTGCTCCTACAAAATTAGACTTCAATTGTCCCGCTCACCTGCGAAATGGCATAAATGAGTTGGAAGAGGAACGTGGTAAAGCAAACCATGTGAAATTTGAGGTCGACCTTTACTTTCTCTTTTCCTAAATAATTGCATAGAGGAACATCGAAAAAGCCGAACCTAGCTTTAATATAACCAGCCAAACACCGGTATAAATATTTAACAAGAAGGAGAGTACGGTAGATACTAGCAACACGAGGAGTTGGACCAGGGAATACAGCGTCTAAATTACATCTTCATGTCTAGAATTTTTCTTGTTTCCTCTATTAGAAGATTACTAAGATTCTGAATATCAACTAATTGAAAAATTAGTCATAGCCAAAAAACTAGAACTTACATTTGCTTGCTGAGCTTCGGGATTTATAACAAAAGAAGTCTTTGCAAACTGCAGGTATGTCGTCTTGTGCGCCAAGATATTCCACGCAAATGTGAATGGAAAAACGGCCACGAGAAACAAAAATTTGTTAGTATGTCGTTGCCAAAACTGTAAAATGCATTACCTTCTTCAAAGAAATTTTGAAGAAGAAGAAAGATCCAAAAAAATCAGTCTATTTTTGGGAGTTCGGAATGGTCGGTCAAAATTTAACGTGGCACTTTCAATTAAATTTTAATGGGCGATTATGGCTGTCGATGCTTCGAAGAATCCGCCTACCGCAGACATGTCACTAAAGACAACTGGCGCCTAATTTGAAAGTGAGGTTTTTGAGCTCATCCTGTCGCCCAAGCGTAGTTTGATTTGCCACCCACCGCCTGGTATTCAAGTGGAAATGTCACTGACGTAGCCCTATTGAGCGCGATCAACGTCACAAAAATATACTGTATATTCGTGAAAATTACGGTAGCGAAGCAGAGAATGCCCGGGATGGGCGACTAAAAGAGCAGATCTGAATATTTTATGTAAGTGATTTTGGAAGATTTTGAGATTTTGGAAGGTCATCTTGGAAGACATAAAATGTATACAAATACCGTACCTCCTCACCAAAACCACCGTAAAATCCAAATAACCCAGTGACAGGCATGACAAGTGTTACCAAAGATAAGTAGTACGTTATTAAATCCTGAAAATCATACATTTATAGGCCGACCTAAATCTTACGTTGATAACGGAAAGGTAGAAGATCTTGGCAGAAGAATGAGGAAATCCAGCGTTCCTAAATCAATTCATTCGGGAGTCGCTCTGTCTCTATCTTTCAAACATCTCTCTCCCTCTCTCTCTCTCTCTCTCTTGCTCTCTTTCGCTCTCTCTCTCTCTCTCTCTCTCTCTCTCTCTCTCTCTAACCAAAATTGTCTCCCAAGCATAAAGCTGCCTAGCGTTGTCGGTATTGACAGAAAGAAGAAGATGAACATCTTCACAATAAAGGCCACGTTGTAAACGATAGGTAGATCCTCGGATACGGTAGCCATGTTTCTGTTTAGCCTTCAGCTGTGTCCGGCTCGGCAATTCGAGCTGGTTGGTGCCTATATATTGTTGCTCGAGGTGATGCAGCCCCCAAAAATAGGAAAAAATTACTAAAATGAAATCGATTGCAATTCGCGTCACATAAATTTAATTTTTGCTGCGTCGAGTTACAGATTTTCGTGCGTTTTGCGCAAAAACTTGACCAAGCAAACAAAATGCTATAGCTGAACATCCCCTAGGGAATATGATATTTCGAATTCAATTGAATTATCCACCTCATATCTGAACAGGTGAATGCAGCCCACCCGTTTTTGTCGATTTCTACATGGCGATGGGCCAAAGAAGCTCGGTGCTAATTTCCTGACCGACCTGGAACGTCAAGCTGAGTTTTGCTCGGAAAAAAGCACATCCCATTGATCAATCTAAAAGATACGATCTCTGGAAAAGAACAAAAACAAACTTCTTGTTTTTGCAGCCAGCAGATTGGTCATTTTTGGAGCGGAAAGATGTGGAGAATTTTTGTAGAGATGTTTTTTCGGGGGTCTGGGGGCATTTGGTGTTTTGGAAAAGGCGCAGATTTTGCCGACAGACACAGGCCTTTGCTAACTCGTCTTGTGCCATAAAAACTGGTTGAGATCCATTGGAAATGGCGCAAATAACTATACAATCTCTCCCATCTGTAACGACGGCTCAATTTTCTAGTACTTCCCTGCAGTGACCCTTTCGGTTTTTGACCAGTAGGTTGAACCCCCCGCGCGCTCGAATTCTGACTTCCGTCTCTTTTAAAGTCAGTCACGATCATTTTGTCATTTCCGGCTTTTCTAAAAATTTCTTCAAATTGTCATGAAAAGTTCACACGCATTTTACCTTCAACACCAAATTCCATTAACCGAGAATACAAAGTATACCTCAATGCGTCTATACGGATCAAATAGGGGCCGAGGCTACCGAGCACGACAAAAAGCGTAGGACTAATCGGTTTAGGCAATTCCCCCGAGGCCATCCCAAATTACCAAGCTAAGATCGAGATGTCGAGATCATCATTAGTCCCCCAAGTTTAGGCCGAGAAGTGGCTGCTTGAAAATTTATTCATTAGAACTGTCGAGCTATATTCCTTTTCAAACACCGGTTTTGGAACACGCTAGTTTATATTTCTAACGCTTGAAACTTATGAAATGTTCAAGTTCGAGCGGAACTTCCTGTTTGATGTGAGTTTCAAGATAATTCCGTTAATATTAAGTTAAGCTTTATTATTTTACTCACCCTGGAACGCTAACTGAGCTGGAACAAGTATGCAATGAACTTCCACATCTATTGGAATACCATCCGGATTATGTTAGAGGTAGCTAGAGAGGGAGAGAAAGAGAGACAGGGCGTGATAGATAGAAAGAGCGAGCTAGAGTGAGAGAGTGAGCGAGATAGAGAGAGACAAATTCGACACTTTCACCGTTATGCCTTCAGGAATTACCTTCATCGTCCTGTGGTGCATCTTCGAATTCATCTACATCCTTTGCATGATTGCCATGTGCCAGCCGAAATTTACACGCATCATCTGCTACAAAATTTTGTATTTTTCATTGTTTTTTCCTTAGAAAATCATGCTTAGGCTGGTAATGGGTTGCGTGGACATCATCGGGATGGTGCCGAACTCGTTGATTCCAGGTAAAGGGTAGACAATTAGCTTCACTCTTTTAGGATACCTACTCGTAACCGGCCAGTCGTACTGCCACCAGCCGCTCGTGAATATATATTTGGCGGCTATTGCGTTTGGTGAGTTCATTAAAGGGGCCTGTAATGCATATAGTCTATGGAAAATCCGGCCGCAGCGCAGGCAAAAATTCCCCTTCCATTCCATTTTTTACGCCCTTGACCACAGAGACTTATAGACACTCACAGACTTATCTTATTCACAAAGTTCTTTTGCTTGCCGATCAGAATCTCGAATTACAAAATCTCGAATGACAGAATCTCGAATGACAAAATCTCGAATGATTAGAATCTCGAATGATCAGAATCTCGAACGATTAGAATCTCGAATGAACAGAATCTCGAATGATTAGAATCTCGAATGATTAGAATCTCGAACGATCAGAATCTCGAATTTACAAAATCTCGAATGACAGAATCTCGAATGACAAAATCTCGAATGGTCAAAATCTCGAATGGACAAAACTTCGATCCAGGAAAGCACAGTTTGGATGAAAATTTCCACTAGCGGCCTAGTAATTGAACCCAAATTTTTTCTATGGAGGTTTTGGCAATCAATAGCTGTAGCAACACTATCTAAAAGTTTAAGACTTCAAGAATTTGAGCCCTTTGCGTCGAAAAAAACGAATTTTTCGACTTAGCGCTAATGTTCTTCATTATCATTTGTAAAGTATGATGTTCAAAAAGGACCATCCCTCGGCAGGGCATACTCACAGCCTACTAGCTTCTATCTAAGACAAAAAATCTATGCTGGATCGAGCCAGACGAAACTAGATTAGGATATCAGTGGGAATCCTGGCATTCGAGATTTGTTCATTCGAGATTTTGACCATTCGAGATTTTGTCATTCGAGATTCTGTCATTCGAGATTCTGTAAATTCGAGATTCTGATCGTTCGAGATTCTAATCATTCGAGATTCTGTTCATTCGAGATTCTAATCATTCGAGATTCTGATCATTCGAGATTCTAATCATTCGAGATTTTGTAATTCGAGATTCTGTCAATTTACCGTTCTTTTACCTTACTAACAATAGCCCGTTTCATAGGTTTTTTGACGTATAACTTCATACCTTAAAAGCTTAAAACTTCTTTTTAGCCAGTTGGTCAGCTTATAGCGGGCTGAGCATCGCTTTGGCAATCAACCGTTGTTGTGATTTCAAGGGGTGCCAAGAGGTATGTTGCCCCAGCTCTTTTTCAACATTTTCCTCTTCTGGAGAAAATCTTTGGCGGCCGAAAAATCTATCTATGGACCGGAATCCCGGTACTTTACGGAATCGGACTATATCTGTTCTTGGTCCCCATGATTTACAACGTCACGAATGGCGGCTACTTTTTTGGGCCAGACCCGATGAGGGCCAGGGTGAGTTTGAAGCAGTTTGTATGAACTTAGACTTTCAAATTTGTATTTTTCGAATTTCCAGACGCCGATAATTTTTCCAATTAACAACGTATTCGTCTCGTCGTTTATCCTGGTGCTGAACGTGTACATGTTGCGCGCAATGTTTACGGCAAACTACAACAAAATGAACGCATCGCAAAAAGTGGTTAGTTTGGAGCCGCGCCTGTCCATCTTGCTCTCTCTATTTCTCGCTCTCTCTCTTTATTTCTCTCTGTCGATCTCTCTCTCTCGACTCTCTCGACTCTCGCTCTCTCTCTCTCTCTCTCTCTCTCTCTCTCTCTCTTTCTCTCTCTCTAACTCTTTCTCTCTCTCTACTCTCTCGCTATAATATGCGATTAAGATAATCCTACAATGCTTTGTCATCAGTATGTCGGTAGTATTAACCGGTTGGCTTTACGTTGCTATGCAATTCTTCGTAATGCCCGAGTTCACCATCCTGATGGCTAACATCTTCTGGCAGTTTTCCAATGGTGAGTCTCCATCTCTCCCTCTCTCTCTCTCTCTCTCTCTCTCTCTCTCTCTCTCTCTCTCTCTCGCCCCTCCCTCTCTCGCTATGTCTCTCTCGCTATGTTTCTCTTTCTTTATCTCTCTCGTACTCTCTCGCTCGCTCTCTCTCTCTCTCGCCCGCTCTCTCTCTCTCTCTCTCACACTCTAAGCCCTCAACCACTTTTCAGGAAGCATGGCCTTATCTTACCTCTTCATCAACAAATCGATGCGACAGGAAGTCGTCAAGATCTTGTTATGCGAACGAAATTACCGAAATCTGGGATGGTCCACGACAGAAGGGAGAACTCGGAATAGTCACGATCCTGCCACAACAAATTTCAATCCAGAAACGCAAATCGTTGCCTCACCACAGTTGACAATTAGACGATCGATGATCTCTGTTTTTTGATAATTTAACTGCGAGATAAATGGCCATTTTTGACGGTTTCGGGTGCATGATGTAATAGCATTTACAAAATCCTTTTCCTGGAAAGCATCGGACACGCGTCCGTGCCCTTTATAAAATCAGGATAAGACTTTCATGGTCTTAAAATTAGGAATGAACTTCGGGCTAGGAATCACCAGAATCGTGTTTCTTTTCAAAGATCTTTTAGTCACGTAACTGATTCAGTCGAACCCAAGATTTCCCCAGAGGCCTCGTGACTGAAAGAACCGACCGATAGACTGAACAGAAAATGGAACCCTTCAAATTCATCTTCGAACCCGATAATGGAAAACGTTGGTATGAGAAGATTTCAGTTTTTAAGTTAAAAGTCCAAAAATTGAGGAAAACGTTTTTTAACCGGAAGTAATTTTGTTTTACAAACTCCTTTCCCTTGCTCTTATTCTACCATATATGAAAAATATTGTTGGTGTTTGACGCTTTGCATGCAGATAACTTTCCAGCTTTCGAAGAACCGCGAAGCGGTTTTTGAAATCTAATTTAAATGAGTAGAATTGATTGAGAATGATCTAACAAATTCCGAGTTGATAACGAATTTTTTTATCCATACCGCGTCCACCTATAAACCGTAGCAGCCGCTGGATGTTGCGGCATTCTGCAATCACTGCAGAGTTATTCGATTATAATGTACCTGTAATATCTGTAATATTTATCTGTAATATTTGGACTGGTCAGATGATCACAGGACCAAGCCTTTTAGCTTTTATCGCAGTGCTAGCCCTTGTTTTTGGTATTTTTGCAATGCCAATTGCCATTCTGCGTTCACCAAATAGCGGTTCGGAAGATTGGGGAGATAGCTGCTCGGTGCACGATATTTCTGGGGGAGCAGGATCTCGTGCAGAGATTGATCCTCGCTCTGGGCGTTGGCTGAATCAGTTTTGCTCTCCTTTATTGGGGTGTCACAATCACTTGACCCTGACCACCAAAAAGAATGAGATCAACAGGAAATGAAACAATCGAGCTAAGGGTTTTTTTCAAAATCTGATGCGCCTGTTGTTTACTTGCATTTTTGATACCCTGCATTATAGGCGATGAAAGGTGCAAAATATTCTATGGAAGGTTTTCGCTGGAAGGTGCTTATTTTATATGTAGTGTACAGTTGACGGCCGTTTGATCGTACCAATCTTATCTTGACCATTAAAGGAGCGCGGAAGTGCCAAATATAAGCCCTTTTGGGAGGGGCCTTTTATTTTTGGCAAAATGCCAGCGGCCGCAGCGGGAGGGAAGAGAGCCATGGTTCTTTTGAACTTTGCGCGAATTTTGTGAACACACTATAATTCGCAAATTGCCAAAAATAAAAGACCCTTCCCAAAAGGGCTTCTTGTTAGCATTTTCGCGCCCCTTTAACTGGACAGCTCATTCCTTTGGTGACAGAGATGTTCTGAGCCCAAGTTTCTCACTTTTTTGCCCATACTATGCGAGCGTCATTAAACGCTATTATAATTTACTATTTATTTCCCATAACCATAACTATAACGTGCGTATTGGGTCCACTGGTAGTTGGCACCAATTCCATTGGTCGGCAAATTATTCGCACACGGCGCGTAGTTATTCGTCCTCATGTGGTGCGTAAAGTATCCAATGTTCGAGCACCAGCAGTAGTATGACGGGTAGCCGATTTGGTAGCCCAAGTAGCGGATGACTAAAAAAGGACGTTATCGCATTACTTTTAGCTTCTCTTCTACTCTCACTTCTTCTCTTCCCTACCTTTAAGAAATTTAATAGCCAGAATTTAACACAGATTTTATATTTTTATAGGTATTTTAACCTTTAACCTTTTTTCTGTTAATGAGGCTTTTTTTGTATTTTAACCTTTAAGATTAGTTAAATTACCTTGACACTGCCCGGCCGGTCGTCCCAAATTGAAGTAGCGTGTGAATTGGCCGGAAGCCACAGGTACGCGAACACTATTGTCGTAGTAGCCTCCGTAGTAATTGTTGTATCCATAATTATTTCCGTAATAATTGTTATAGCCGTAGCCAAGCACAGGTCTACGCCGGAATAACCCGCCGACATTTGAAGTGATTAGCAGGCCACGGTTGCCTAAAAAGATCTTTGCAATGCTATTTTGCAAACTACAACTAATATAATTGCAGCGACAGTACGATACCCACCAAACAACGGCATATATGCTGCACTTCCAAACATTGTCGGTATTTGGTAGATGGCTCTTTTTGAGCGATCATCATCTGCTTTGACTTCGGTTGTTGAATTTCCGGCTTTGTTGGATGTTTCAGTAGAATTTGTCGGGTGTTCCGAATTTTGAGTAGCCTTTGTCGGTATTTCGGGTTTTACTGTAGCGTTTGTCGGTGTTTCCGGTGTGGTAGAAGCATCGGCATTTACTAAAAAATTTCACTTTATAAATTTGGCAATTTTTGGCCCTGTTCTTCATGATTCAAGCGACATCTAAACTTTGCTAAGGAAAAATCCAGGATTTATAGGCAAAGTTAACTGTTTCATTCAAAAATTGAAAGATCTAACAAAATAAAGATTAAGCGATTAGTAAAAAAAGGAAAATTCCATTAAAGTCCACAATACAACATAGCTCCACCCTTCAGATTACCTGATGCAACCAATAACAACAAGGCAAAATAGCCGTTAGCAATGTGCTTCATTGTCGAAAATAATAATCTTATCCGGCCGGCAAATCGGATCGGGTTTATAACTCAGTCCGGTGGTAGGTGCTTTCGGAACCAAACTGTTCCCCAAATACAGGTACAAAAGATCGCGAAAAAATGATGAATCCAAGAAGTTCTCAAGCCAAGAGCTCCGCACCCGCAGATCCCCAGTAAATAAAGGGTCAGGGCGCAGAGATTGATAGCAATTTTGGGGTTGAGCGGGAGCCTGGGTGGGGGGGAAGTTGGCCAAACTAGAGCTGTTGTCTCGGTTTGACAATACTCGAATCCGGTTTCCCGAGGTGAGGAATCAATCCTTAAAATTTCAATCCTTGAGCCCAAGTGTTTAGTATCACTTCCGGACGGTGAGCACGAGACTCGTTCATGATTGAGCTTGGGGAAAGTGAGAAGTCAAAGACCAACAAGTTCTCCCGGTTTAGCCTTGAAAGCCAGGCCGATACTAGAGACTATGGCTCCCCGACATTTGCGGCCCGACATTTGCGGACGCGACATTTGCGGTACGACATTTGCGGCCCGACACTTGCGCCCGACATTTGCGGCCCGTGCTATTCAGCCCACTTTTCTCAATATAAAATTAAAAAAAGGGTTAGTAAGGGTCTAAAGCATTTTCAGGCAAGGCGGGCCGTCGCTTCGGATGGGCTGCCGCTCCACTCTTTCGAAATCGGGCCGCCTGGCCGCTACGCGCGCCTCGGGCGCCTCGATGTCGAAACCCTGTACGAGCTCGCACCCATCCGAAGCGACTGGGCCCCGGGGTGGCAAGAAACCTTATTTTTAGGTCAATACCAGGGGACAAGCGATCAAAACCATTCAGAAAACTAGCCTTCCGGACGCTTAAAAGCTTCAGTTTTGGGTAATTAACTACAGCTTTGGTCCGCAATTGTCGGGGCCGCAACTGTCGGGCGCAAGTGACGGGCCGCAAGTGTCGGGCCGCAAGTGTCGCGTCCGCAAATGTCGGGCCGCAAATGTCGGGCCGCAAATGGTCGGGCCGCAAATGACGTGGCACCGAGACTATGGTTCCGTTGCGCCATTGGCGGTGTACTCGGATTTCCGGGCATTTTACCAATTACAAACAATAATTATCATTGTTTATTCAAAAACAGAAAATCAATAACAGAGGGCTTGCCCCCAGTAGCCACCATACTGTCCGTAGTTGTAGTTGCCGCCGTAACCCCCGTGGCTGCGCCCGTAGCCTCCGTACCCTCGGCCCCAGCCACCCTAGTTGCGGATCGAGGGCCTACGTCGGAATAGGCCTCCCACGTTGGATGTGATCAGCAGGCCGCTGTTTCCTAGAAATAAAGATAGTTGAGAGAGAGAGAGATGGAGAGAGAGAAAGAGAGAGTCTTACTGAAAATTGGCATGTATCCAGCGCTTCCGAATCTAGTCGGAATTTGGTAAATCGCCCGCTTGGCTCGCTCCTTGCCTTCATCGTCTTCTTCGGAAATTTGCTCTGGGTCGGCTCGGACTAAAAAAAGCCATACTAGGATGGTTTCAGCGGTATTTTAAGATGAAAAATACTATTTGCTTTGAATAATTTGAATCGTTTTTCAAGTTTTTGAAATTCCAAAAATTATCCAGAAAGTCGGTAAAAAAAAAAGTTAAAAACCTACATAGATCGTGGCGCTTCAAGAAATTACTTACCGCTGAAAATCAGAAGCAAGCAAACGAGATAGAATCCAAAAGTCTTCATTTTTAGCTTAGTTCGTAGTGCCTTTGCGTTTGCTGCTTGAGCATGGGGTACGATCATTACTTCTAAAAGTCATTACTTCTAAAATCATTACTTCTAAAATCATTACTTCTAAAAGTCATTACTTCTAAAATCATTACTTCTAAAATCATTACTTCTAAAAGTCATTACTTCTAAAAGTCATTACTTCTAAAAATCATTACTTCTAAAAACGTTACTTCTAAAATTTGGTATGCCGGATTACCAGTTTTTCGGCATATTTACGCCCAAAAATACGCTTAGAATTTTAGAAGTAACGACTTTTAGAAGTAATGATTTTAGAAGTAATGATTTTTAGAAGTAATGACTTTTAGAAGTAATGATTTTGGAAGCAATGACTTTTAGAAGTAATGACTTTTAGAAGTAATGATTTTAGAAGTAATGATGGGTAGCCCTTGAGCATGAATGCTCAAACCCCTTGATTTTATACCCCTAGGCCATTTCCAACGGTCGATCCGCGTTCACCAAATCAAACCAAGTTCCCCGATTATGGAGCATGAGCCTAAACCAGCGATTAGAGGTTTTTGTGCTTTGCGACGCGTGGAAAACGGATGGGTCAAGCCAGGTTGGGGTGAGAGCATGATGGCGCATGGTCGTTGATCGAGGGGAATTGAGCAATTTCTGGGCGGAGTGGAGCATCGGAGCATTGGCACAAAAACAGTAAATGTTGCGCTTCGTAACTTCCCATTTTTTTGCTTTTGTGGTATATTCTTTTTGTAAAAACGAATAAAAAATTCAAAATTTTTATGCAGTCGGCAAAAGTTTGACATTGTGACAATTTTCAGTACAAAGAAATGTTGAATATGCATCGCTGTACACAGATTAAAGCACGGTAACCAGATCTCGATCAGGGGGTTGGACCAGTTTTTAGCGACGAAAGCAGTGAAAAACAAAGATACAACGTACAGGATCAAAAATCCAATAAAAGGAAGGAGGGTTGGTACATTCAGAAAAATTATCTATAAGGCGCTAGCGCTCGGTAAGAGGCTATCCAAAGTGCTGCCGCGATAAACGTGATACTCCCGTTGACGATCCAGAGGATTCCTTGACCCGATTTCGTAAAGATGGCTCTAAAAAGGGTAAATTAAATTTGAATGAATACCGTAGGCTAGAGTTGTAATAAACAGTAATTTACGCATCATAAGGCTTTATTTTTTCAATATGAATTAATTTAAAGTAAGGAAATGAATTTAAAGTAAGGAAAGGAAAGACTTCTGTTTTAATGAAATTAGTATACCTTGTTCATTTAAATTTAGTTCATTTTTAGGCGACTTAACACCGAATTTTTGATAGCAAAACCAAAACCTACGTCGAATAAATAGCACCAATGACGAGGGTGAGATCTTCTACCAGCATATTTACACCTTGCAGCATGCTCTGAAAGAAATAAGACATACTTACGCTTGAAATAGCTTTGTTCTACGTCATACTACGATATCTCTTGTATTTGATGTTCTAGACATCAAAATATCGATTTACCTGATCGCCGCTGCCCAGCACCTTCGAATAAATGGTGTCGAGTGAGATCATCAGGAAGGGCAGACCGGCTCCCATCACAAGGACCTGAACGATGACTCATTTGTATGTATTGAAAAACGTCTATATATTACTGTAATAGTATTAGCAGTACCATAATAGACTATAGTTATCCGGAAAAAAACCTACTAGCAACGTGATCCAAATGGCCGGCTGGGTGACGTGGCCATCGCACCACCCGTACTCTTTTGGATTGCAGCCCAGTCCCGAAGTTTCTGAAATTATATCATTCAGTACCGCGTTGCGATCGACTTCAATTGTTTTAAATTAAATTTTAAAGGTTTATCCATTTTCTTGAATTTTTATTGATCCTTAGACCTACCATTCCATACCGCAACAGGTACGGTAATCTTTGGCCACGGGTAAGTGATAATGTACAGCCCGACGGTGATGACTAGACCGAACATGAATGTGATACGGGCGTGGATCCTGAAAAGCCAGTTGATGCACCATTAAAATTGGCAGACTCCATTCTTCCTGAATAGTCACGAAGTCCGAACTCACCGCTGTCCCAATCGGGCAAAAACAAAAAGAGCAGCGATGGCCACGCAAATGATGCCGACGACGGCCTGTCCAATTGCCATGACCATCACGGTTTTGTGACCTGACAAACCTTGTTATTATCATTTCTTTAAAGTATGGAATTCTTGAGGTTTTTCTGACGTAAGGTGAGGGAAATTATCACTGTTACGGTATCTACAAACTAAAACGAGTACTACGGTTTCTGCTGGCAAGGCTACTACGGTTTAAAAAACCCCACCATCCCAACCGTAGCCCGACATGAAGAGCGGGGCTGTGACACTGAAATAAAGAAATGAATTGGGTTACCAAATTACCCTATGAAATAGCATCAAGCCTCGAGATAAAACCAAAAGGTAATGAAGCCAAGTTTTTTACACGCCTCTCCAGGAAACTGGCTATCACTTTTTAAAATTAAAACTAACTGACCAAGCCTCTGCTTTGTAGCATTAAAGGGGCTCCGAACTGCCAAATCAAAGCCTTTTTGGGAGGCGTCTTTGATTTCTGGCAAATTGCCACCGGGCGCTGCGGGACGAGGGCCCTCACTCTTCCGATTTTTGCGCGAAGTTGTTTTTGCCCAGTTTCTTTGTGAAAACACTCCAATTCGCGCATTCTGAGCCCATTTTTTGAAATCCTCGCTCAATTTTAAACAGGTTTGGTGTTTTAATCATCAAATTTGGCCCAGAAACAGCCGAGAACGCGATTTCGAGGTGACCACAGGCAATTTCAAATTTGCGAGCTTCCCGCACCCCTAGGTGTACAGAGGCCTCGGACGTACAGGGTTCACATTTTCGGGCTGTCACTCAATCTTTGGCATTTCGTAGCCCCATTAAATTCAACTTTGGACTTACGTGCCCACGGTAATCGACGTAATTCTCGTGGAAACAATTTGGAAGAGACACAACAGCACGATCGGCCAGACGACGCCGCTTCTTTTGAGGAGAAGCTGGATCTGCTCCCAGAATGAGCCGACCGGGCCTGGAATACAGTAGATTAGGCGCTATATACAAAATTGTTACAGCAAAAACAGTTCCAATGACTTTGGAGGGCTCTTAATTCTTTTATGATGTTCATTAAAGTGGTTAACTCACTAATTGTCGGCAACTGCTCTTTGCGGACGTCGACGAAGAAGAATAGCGTTGCCAGGATGGCAATGATATTCATGCCGGTGGCAAAATAGATGGGTGCTGTATAAAAGTTGAAGAGGATTTTGTGGCCGATGATGTTGTGCCCAGGATATTCGAACGTTTTCGCTGAGAAGGCGAGCTGGATCACTAAAAAAAGCTACTTAGAGGCGCATAAATTTTCATTCTCGGACACAAAGAGCGAGAGAGAGAGAGGGAGAGAGAGAGAGAGAGAGAGAGAGACAGAGAGACAGAGGCTCAGGACTCACCTGGCCCCAGCACGATCGCCATCAGACCGGCACAATTTGTGACCGCATACGCTCGAGACCTGTCCCCCTCAGTGGAGACGTCGGCTATGTAGCTCCGAATTACGGACATTGAACCTAAAAATAAAGCTTTATAAAGCCATTTAAAGTACAATAAAAAAACTTTTAGGCAGCTAACTACGTTTTCTGTTTTAAAAGCACTAAGAAGGCACTTACCTAATCCCAAGCCGAACAAGAAGTAGCAGACCATCATCAAGTATCGTCGATTTTCGGGGAATACTTCTACGATGAGGTATAGGAAACAGCCGATGAGGGAGATAATTCGACCGCACAGGAGGGGCCACCTAAAGCAAATCCATATTTTTCAAGTAATAACCATGCTTTGCTGTCTTGAAGCGTCTCCGCCAAAGTGCAAAGACCATAGCTCCGATAGCATGTCCGGCATGGGACATTGCTGTCGCTACCCCGAAAAATGAAGTCGTGGCCTTCGGGTCGATCTAAAAAGCGCAAAATGTGTATGAAGTAATACAAATAAACAGATACTTTAGAACTATACGGAAATCATTGATATCAGATCAAAACCATATATCTAACTTTAAAAAATTGACAGAGTGTTTAAGCAGCTTGACAATGAGTTGAAATTCTATAAGAAATTTAATATAAAGGATATCTAGATTCCAGTAAATGATTGCCAGGATTTCTAAGGTAATTTTGAAGCTATAAAAACATACCGTACTCATATACGGCCACTCGCTAACCCCAATAATATGGTCTTCCACAGCCGACAGCAGCCAAATAATTCCCGAGATGATAATCTTCCGCCAATCCGTCATCCCATCGGTTTTCTCCTGCAATTGTTGCATCTCAGCCAGCAGATTTTGAAGTGGATTTTTGGATAGCTGCTATCTCTTTTATCCCATAGCTCAGCCCCACTCAAAAATTGTAGCCTGATGCACCCAACTCAAGGCTTTGACGACTGCTGCTTCCCCACTACCGTACCCGGGTTTTTGTTTACAAAGATCTGGGCACGGATTGGCTCGGAAAATAGAGAAGCGAGCGAGCGAGAGAGAGAGAGAGAGAGAGAGAGAGAGAGAGAACGAGAGAAAGAGAGAGAAAGGGGGGTAGAGATAGTGAGATCCGTCGAACGGTTTCGCCACCCCGGCAAATAGAACAGTTGAGAAATCCGAGACGTTTCGGGGGGTTACGGTAGTCTGAGAGAGGCTTTGGGGGGTACTGTATCTTAAGGTTTTAACCGTCACTTTAATATACCTCGGAGACAGGCTTGTAGCAGAAGCACATGGTGATACCGGAGCTTTTGCATTTTCGGAGGGCGGGGGGGGGGGGTGAACAATTTTTTGAGGGAGTTTTACAAAAAAATGGTCGATTCTTTAGATTTCTAAATTTTTACATAGTTTTTCAACTTCAATTCGCGCCAAAAATTCACTAAATACGCTATTAAAACATTGAAAATTACATTTTTGTAGACAATTCTGGACGTTGAGGAAATTTTCTTTTGGTAAGATTCTGTAGATTCCAAATCACCGAAATTAGTGAAAGCTAAGGTTCATCGAGTATAAAATTCTAGAAATACCAGAAAGTCATCTATGAAATGCGTATTACCATGACGTGCAACATT